CTGGAGTTCAGCTTCCACATATACCTATATATACACACACATTATATCTATATATATATTATACAGACATATACACACACACACATAATACATACAAACTCACTGGCTATTTTATTAGGTACACCTGCTAATACCGGGTTGGAGCCCCTTCTGCCTTCAGAACTGCCCTAATTCTTCATGGCATAGATTCAACAAGGTGTTAGAAACATTCCTCAGAGATTTTGGTTCATATTGACATGATAGCATCACGCAGTTGGTACAGATTTGTCGGCTGCACATCCATGATGTGAATCTCCCATTCCACCACATCCCAAAAGGTGCTCTATTGGATTGAGATCTGGTGACTGTCCATTGGAGTACCGTGAACTCATTGTCATGTTCAAGAAACCAGTTTGAGATGATGTGAGCTTTGTGACATGGTGCATTATGGTGCTGGAAGCAGCCATCAAAAGATGGGTACACTGTAGTCATAAAGGGATGGACATGGTCAGTGGGCGGCAGTTGTGTGGACAAGGCGTTTAAATGATGCTCAATTGGTACTAAGGGGCCCAAAGTGTGCCAAGAAAATATCCCCCACAACATTACATCACCACCACCGGCCTGAACCGATAATACAAGGCAGGATGGATCCACGCTTTCATGTTGTTTTTGCCAAATTCTGACCCAACCATCTGAATGTCGCAGCTGAAATAGAGACTCATCAGACCAGGCAACGTTTTTTCAATCTTCTACATTATTGTCCAACTTTGGTGAGCCTGTGTGAATTGTAGCCTCCGTTTCCTGTTCTTAGCTGACAGGAGTGGCACCCGGTGTGGTCTTCTGCTGCTGTAGCCCATCTGATTCAAGGTTCGATGTGTTGTGCATTCAGAGATGGTATTTTGGATACTTCGGATGTAACAAATAATTTAAGTTACTGTTGCGTATCATCTCAAACCAGTCTGCCCATTCTCCTCTGACCTCTGACCTCTACAAGGCATTGTCGTTCACACAACTGCCGCTTACTAGATATTTTCTTTTTCAGACCATTCTCTGTAAAAACATTAGAGATGGTTTTGCGTAAAAATCCCAGATCAGCAGTTTTTTAAAAAAATACTCAGACCAGCCTGCCTGGCACCAACAACCATGCCACGTTCAAAGTCACTTAAATCCCCTTTCTTCCCCATTCTGATGCTCAGTTTGAACTTCAGCAAGTAGTCTTCACCATGTTTAGATGCCTAAACATGGTTGCAGCCATGTGATTGGCTGATAAGATATATATATATATATATATATATATCACACATATACAATACACACACACACTGTATATAATGCATACATACATCTACACACACAATTTAATTATTAATAACTAAAATATTAGCATTATAAGTATAAGCCACACACATAGTCAGAAATATTTTGTAAATTTTGGTCCTTAAAAGGAGGGTTGGGGAGGTAGAATTCCTTTTTTCTTGTTGATGACGGTTTTAATATTATTTGGAAGCATCATTTAAAGGCCTACAGTCCTGGGCAGTTCCATAGTTTGGCTAATCTCATAGCAGCACAGTAAAGACAGCCTGTGAGTGGTGGTTTTACAGTCTCAGGGATTATCTATTCAGGAAAAATGCCTATCCAGGACTTTGATTCTTCCAAATATCTGCATGGAGATTTGTCTGATCTGTCTAGAATTGCACAAGTTAGAACTCCAGGCAATGCAATTTACGAATGGTATACTTCTCTGCAGACTGCACAAATCTTCATACTGGGGTAAAAACAAAACTAATTGGCCTGTCATTCAGGATCTTGAAACATAATTATGGCACCTAACTTTTCCAGTTCTTCAGATTTTTACAAAGCGCATATACAAAATTAGCAGAGCTCACTAGCACTCCTAACGGACTGGAAATTAGTGCCTACCTGTCTTTTGCAGCTGGCTTTCTACAGAATTACGTATTCTTGATTTGGAATAACTGCTAGTCCCAAAACATGCAATTTCTGTGTTGCAACTCCACATCCTGATATCCTTGAACTCTGGGTACCTGCCAAAGCAATGTTTCCATCCCCAGTAGACATGAAATTGTCTGTAATGTTTTTCAAATATCCAGGCAGAGTAGGGATAACTTGGGTTGCTCTACTTGCTGCAATTTCAACCTTCCTTATTGTAAACCACATTTGAATTTTAATTAGTATGCATTACAAATTGGGAATTTATTATATAGAAGGTTTACAAAACAAAATTACACATGTTACAGCTTAGTAGTGTATTTTTAATCTCAACTATAATCAGTTAAAAGTATAAACCCCCATTATGTTTGTTTTTAAAAAAAGGCACATATTATAAATAACATTTTGCTTTTAAAAGGCACATTTTATAAACAACAAAGTCTGCTGTATTAAATATGTTAAGAAAATTAGTTTTATTTTAGCCAATGTCACAGCTGTGTATTTTAGAAAACTTTACAGACTGTACAGTTTATGTATTTATGCTGTAGAACAAAGGTGTAGGTCCAATGAATGCAAAAATACTGTACCAACCCAAGCTACAGGCAGATTTACAGTGGGTGCAACTCTCCAACAATAATGGGAGATGGTCAGCTGGAAGTAAAAATTTAAAAACTGTACAAAAATAAGATTGATTACTTTTCTTCATACATTCAACAAATTGCAAGCACAGATATCCTAGTATTAATAGTAAAATATCTGCAATCACAAATCATTTAAACACTCCCAAAGGAATGGCACATTATATATTTACAAAACACTTGTCTACACTATACATAAACAGTAAAATATATTTATATATGTTTTATATAGTGTATTGATTAAAAAGGCAATAGAATAGTACACGTCTAACAAAAAGGTAGTTTTTGGGTGGGATATTTTGTAATGTAATAGTGTGCCAAAATTAACTTATTAAATAAAATATATTCTAGTGAAACCTAAAATTTATACAAGTGTGAACATAAAATTATTTTTGGTGTATACATAACCTGCAAACAACTATGAAGACTCACCCAAGAACTAAAGTATATAAACAACTATATAAAATAGCCTCCTGCAAATGAATAGACCTCCAACTTTACACAAGATAACGCAATGACCTGTTAATACTGCATCACACTAAGAAAAACATCTTGACAGTGGTTTCTTCATGCTATCTTGATATTGAGTAGACATTTTTCTGACAGTATGTCAAAATTTTCTTTTTTTGTTGAACAATTTATTAGCATATATCCTGAGAACACACACATACACACTTTTTTGGGTTTATTAAAATTCATCAGTATACGGTTATCATCCTGTGGGTTTTGTTTTAGTCCATTTAAAATTAGAAGAAAAAAAAACAAAAACTTTTTTTTCTGAGGTATGTAACCTTCTTTTGAAATAAAGCATTGCCTCAGTCTTACCTCAGTGGGCAATGAAAGTTAGGGCTTGCTGCTACCCGTTTTATATTTAAATATATAATATATATATTTTATGAACAAAAATATGCATTTCAAAGACCTCCCTGTCGCTCAGCTTTCATGGTCTTCCTCTCTCAGTACGGACAATTGTTCAAGACACAGAATCTCAGGGTTCCCAACAGGAATCCAATGTCTCTAGCTTTAGATATTTGTTCAAAAAGAGAAACAAAGTTTTAAATAAATTTAGAGCATCATAAAAAGATGTTCCTGAAAGTGTTTCAAGGCTTCTTTGTAAAACATACATTCTTTTTTTTTTTTTTAGAATTCATCGATTTTCCTTTGCAAATATTTTAACATGGAGTCCATTCCTTGAGCAGATCCCCAAATCTTTTTTAGCACTTCGCATTCTCTTTCATTCGTCTGTTCTAAATCTTCACGCATGACATTACGGACTAAAGCTTTGGATTCTTCAAGTACCTATGTGAAAAAACAAACAGGTGATTACAGGCGATTTATTTATTATGGAAATGTACTAAATAGAGTATATCATGGAAATCTGGAACTGCTACATACCACTGGATTGCAGGCTACAAGTTCTCTAATGCGAACCATGACTTCTTGTGTGAAAGTCCCAGGCCAGAATACCTGAGAAACAAGTCCTTTTGCACATGCTTCTTGTGCAGTTAATTTTCTTCCACTAAGTAACATCTCATTTGCCTGGCGTACAGAAAGAAGTAGGATTTAGAATTATGCAATTGATTTATATTTGTACCATGCATAGAAAAAATATGCTCTTTGATAAGAAGAGTGCTCATCACAATAATACTGTACGTGTTATAGATACCTAGTGCCCCCATTAATTAAATTATAACTAAACCCAAAAACAAAAATGTAGTATATTGGAGCTTACCAGTCATACAAAGTTGCGGCTGCATTAGGTTTCTTTTTCAAACGTTTTTAGAACATTTTCAGCAAGGATGGAAAATACCTGTTAAACTCACAGGGAGAAGGACACTGAATTTCTGGTAACAGAAAGCAAAAGCAACCTTACTTTTGTTCTGTAAATTACTAATTCCATTACCCCCACCATGTAATGGAGGTAAAAGAAGGCTCATGTGTAGTTGGTCTCAGGTTATTTAAATCAATAGTGGGCATGCCAGCAAGCCCAAACCAAAAATATGACGACAAAAAAAAGAAAGGAAAAAAAGGTAATTGGAGATGTTGGATCTAATAGTCTTTTTGAAAAAAAATAATTAAAAAAACACAAAATTCAAATATAAACCCTGTCCAAAAAACACCCCATAGTGATATTATAAATGAGAAAACACGGTCAGCCAACCAGGTGCCATTTACTCCTGCACCCGGCAGTCAAATTCATTCTCGCCTGCAAAAGGGTTCAAACTCAGCCATATATCATGTGGAACAATGGCTCACAGCAGTCTGTCTGTAAGCAATCCTTCACTCAGACAGCATTGGTATATCCATCCTAAGACTGGCACACAGAAAATCACATATAAGCAAGTCCATCTGAAAAAAATTGAAAGCAGCATTAACGTTCAGGCAGAGGCATCTAGCTGAAGCGAATGATGAGATGATGAGCGAAGATGAACTTTTAATAGCATGCATTACAAACTGCATTCACTCAGTCCAAAGCACATATTGCTGGCAATCCACCAAACCATCTAGTTGTGGATGACAACTGCTGCCGTAACTTATGGTACCAATGGTATAAAATCTCAGGCCATGGGGCAAAGGCTCCTCAAACCCTACTTAGGTCCGTGTGTGTTTCTATAGTATTTCACATGGCATGCATCAACTGGATATACTAGGACCCCACTGTGTGCAATGCGATTTCATCAGAACCGGATACTGCTGGGGAGCAGGAGATGAAAGCGAGTGGTCGGATCAAGCACTGATGCATTGTGTGCACATTGACGCTGACTTTTTTTTATATGAAAAGGACACCTATAGATGATTTGGAAAATTACCAGCATTTGTGCTTTGGACTGAGAAAATGCAGTTTGTGATGTATGCCATTAAGCATTCATCACCACTCTAATTTATTAATGGCTACAGCTTTCTGCCTCAGTTTTAACGCCGCACTTTTCAGCTCTTTCTTCACATGGGATTTGCTTGTATATGCTTTGCTGTGTGCCAATTCATGATTGATATGCCTATGCTACCTATGAATGAAGGATTGCTGTGAGCCACTGTTGCACATGGTATATGGCTGAATTTGAACCCTTCAGCAGGCTACAATGAACTTGAATGTGTTGACAGTTTATCATGCATATCACCTTCCTTGAACAGATGTTATATAATGCAGTAAACCATGGACTTTTCCAAGCTAGCACTTTTAACATGCGTTCACATGGTATTGCTACCCAGGGCAGTGTCACTGTTGTGTGCAGGGGAGTAAATGGCACATGGCTGGCTGACAGCATTGTCATTTGCCTTTTATAATATCATTATGGGATGTTTTCTGGATGGTGATTTTCAGTAGAATTTGTGTTTTAAATAATTTTTGCAGTAAAGGGACTGTATGATATCCAGCATCTTCAATCACCTTTTCTTCTCTTATGTCTGAAGTCCAGCCTGTGTGACAATCATGGCTCCCTCCGTACATATAGTTGAGGAATGAATGTAATCACCCGGGGACAAGAAGTGTGTTCTTTGTAGGGCTTACCAGGTAAAAATAAAAAGGAAAAAAAGGCCTGCAAATGGAAATCTAAGGACTTGTGAGCTGTAATATATTTCATTTTGTTTTATGGGTTTTGATAAACTTTATATTTTACAGGATAAAGACATAAAAACAACAAAATTGCAGATTAGCATTCCGTCAAAGTAAAAAAAAAAGTTGTTTAAACTTACACAGTATTAAGTAAGCCACCATAAAACAGTGTTTAATATTTATGTTCATGTCTGGCGTTTAGAACAGTTAAATACCCACCCCTACAAACAAATCACTTCAGTCTTCTTGCAAAACTTTCTTAGAAAGTAAACTCGCGTATAAATTGAAACTTAAATATTTAATTTAAATAGCCTACATAAATTATCTGGATTTGAACATACTGGGGATAATTAATAAAATCTGAAACAGAGCTCTAGGGCAGTTACCCATGACAACAAACCAATCAGCTTCAGTTTCATTTTCAAAGCTTACTGAACAAACAAAAAAAATAAGCTGGTTGCTATGGGACACTGCTCCAGATTTCGTCTGCTCCAGTTTTCATGAAGTCCCCCACTATTTTGAAATGCCACAAATACCATAACAGATGTCATTATGTAGAAACATGTACATCTCCATTTTATTTTTACTACCCAAAATTCTATGTTAAAAAACTTTTTCAAGATATAACTACAGTCTTGTACTGAAATATTTTGACCATCAATACATGTATTGGTTTAGTATATTTTATGTATATGCAAATGAAAAAAACTTTATTTTGAAACATGTTATAAACAAATTAATTGATGAACAAAATGTAGAAAAAGGATAGTAGACACTGCATTAGGCTCAAGCAGTGGGATGAGTTTGGCAAACATTACTTTACAAGATTTTATGTTTGGTCTTTACCCATAATAATAGCTAAATGACCACACATGTGAATTAAATGCAAAATGCACACAGTTGGCGGGACTTGGACAAGGTTTAAAAAAAAACTATTTTAGAAGTTGTATGTCTCAAGTGTTATGTGCACTTCCAATGTGTTTGTATGTTGCTACAAATTAAAAGGTGAACTGGTATACTTACAGATGCAATACCCATTATTTTAGGGAACAGAAGTGATGAACAGCCGTCTGGGCTCTGTCCAAAAGTAGTATAAGGTGTTTGAAACCAAGCTTTCTCATTTGCCCAAATAACATCACAGAGAGGTAATATAGATGCACCAAGTCCAATGGCAGGTCCATTTACAGCAACAATTATGGGTTTCTTAAACTGTATAAAAGTACTTACAAACATCCTACAAAAATAAAACACATGTGATTACTATTCGATCTACTGAATTGTAAGCCACAGAATAAAATAAAAAAAAACTACAACTTTTCCCTCTTTTTTGCACATTGAGGGAGACAGGACTGTAGTAATAGACATTAGGGCTATAATGCCGCTTTTAGGTTTGGACACTGGTGAAAAACAACATTAAAACGTCCCCCTTATAACCCCACTCCCAACTTTTATGCTTTATGATTTTTGCTAGTGTCCTAGGAGGTTGGATGCTTTTTCCTCAGCACTTCTGGGGAGAAAAAAAAAAAAAATAACTCCGATCTTTAAAAATCTTTTCTTCAAGTAAGATATTATTACATACATTTTGTTTCTTCAATCAAGAATTTGAGAAATGCTGCTTAAGCTCATCTCTGCCCAGCAGAATCCATGTATCCTCAGCAACAGCTTTGGAGACCGTACCCAGACCCTACGGAACTGAAGCCTGCAAAGTTAGTCCGGAATGTGACCTTCTGGCACTGGGCTCTGCATCGTGTGACTGTCCAGACATCTGTGTACTGTGTTAGTTAGCAACAGAATGTTCTCGAAGTCTAGAGCAATAGCAGAGCCTTTAATGTGACCTCGTATCTGAGGACTCGCATAGTAAGGCCAGCCGGGCTAAAGCACTACAAACCACTTCGCAGTTGGCACCCTCAGGGCAACATTTTTGAAAATTCCTGCTTGCTTACAGTAGTAACAGGCAAAAAGGACATGAACAGCGCTCTCGCATGAGGGAGGCTAACTGACAAACATGTGTGCAGCCCTGGAAACAGGAAGAGAACCTGTGGATGCAGTTTGTCAAAGGAACACGGAGGGCGCAACAGCAAACACAAAAATAAAGCACTGGCTAGTTGGACTGTAATGTGTATAACGAACAGGGGATCAGATGTGAAAGTAAAGAATCACTGGCGAAGGATCAATGTGATATCACTTACATGTGGATCCAGGGAACGGAAGATGGACGGCCTGTGCAGAGGATCGGGACCCTCGTGGTGTCTGTTTGGATCCGATTGGTATATTGACTGAGGAGGTTCATCCATCGGAAGGGAATGATGTGAGCAGAGAGAGAGTTGACTCTGCCCGTGATGCCGCTGAGAGGATGTGGATTCCGGGCAGTGTGAAGGAGAACCAGGAGGGACAAACCAATATCGAGTGCAGCATGGGCTGCTTGTGACCGCAGTTGTGGAGGTCGGTGCTCGGTTTTGGCCAGGTCAGCTGTGGGCAGTGTGCGGGAGACGGTACGCAACGGAAGCTGACAGGCGCCGGGTAGTCGGAGCAGTGAGGAGGTGGGGATACTCTGGGTGAATGGGGGTGCATTGGGTAGAGAAGAGCAACGCGTTTCGAGGTATTCACCTCTTTCTCAAGCTCAAAAGGAATGATAAAGGCACTGGCGGGAATCCGCCGGTTTTAAAAAGTGACAGGTGGGCGGAGCCTTTACTCGAATACCTCGAAACGCGTCTCTCTTCTCTACCCAATGCACCCCCATTCACCCAGAGTATCCCCACCTCCTCACTGTTCCGACTACCCGGCGCCTGTCAGCTTCCGTTGCATACCGTCTCCCGCACACACCCAAAGCTGACCTGGCCAAAACCGAGCACCGACATCCACAACTGCGGTCACAAGCAGCCCGTGTTGCACTCGATATTGGTTTGTCCCTCTCGGTTCTCCTTCACACTGCCCGGAGTCCACATCCTCTCAGCGGCATCACGTACAGAGTCAACTCTCTCCGCTCAAATCATTCCCTTCCGATGGATGAACCTCCTCAGTCAATATACTAATCAGATCCAGACAGACACCATGAGGGTCCCGATCCTCTGCACAGGCCGTCCATCTTCCGTTCCCTGGATCCACATGTAAGTGATATCACATTTATCCTTCGCCAGTGATTCTTTACTATCACATCTGATCCCCTGTTCGTTATACACATTACAGTCCAACTAGCCAGGGCTTTATTTTTGTGTTTGCTGTTGCGCCCTCCGTGTTCCTTTGTCATACAGTAGTAACAGATAGCTCTCATTCACATGAGGCGTCCTGGCATTTCTGCGACACCTGATCTGTGATTACTGCGATACCTTAAGCAGGAATGCCAGGTGTCCCCATTTAGATGCGGCTGCTGTGCCTGTTCCAAGTTAATGACTGGGTGATAGCAGCTGAATCTGTAATCGGCAGTCCACATGTAATCATACATGGTTCACATACATTTGGTTTGGTAAATCAGTGTCGCTGGATACACCTATTCTGCATCCAGGGATGGTGATCTATTTCAAACAGCATGTTGCGGTGCATCTAAATCCGTAGGTTCCTGGTGCAGGGATGCCAGAACACTCCACGAGAACAAGGCCTTAAGGCTGATCACTGATGTCATCCACTAGGTAGAGTGTTGTGTGCAGTTGCGCTCCTTTTCCTGCCTTTAGCATAGAGGATGCAACTTTCTATCGTTGCCCCTGTTTTTTTGTGCACTTTCTGGATCAACTACTCTTTTTTTCCACTGTCCACCTACAGTAACTTGGCTCACCTTCGGTCGCATACGACCCTTTTCAGCATCTGCTGTTTGAGTTTGTGAGTACGCAAGTCCTTGCCTTACTTTGAGCTGCGTCGTTCTACGCTACATGGTGTATCATGTATTTTACTTGGCACACAGAAGACAGTATCGCTGCAAATGAGTGACCTCAGCACATACACTTCAATTGTTGATGGGGATGATTTACTGGTATCCCCAGAAAGGAACATAGATCACACGACCCTTATTTATGCTCATCCTCACAGTCTTCCACAGCCCTGCAGTATAGAATAGATACAACTATTTATCTTGTTAGGACAGGAGCCCACAGCTTGGCCAACTCCCAATTTATAGTGGACAGGCAAATGGGAAGGGCAGCAAATTGGATATGCTGTGTGCCCACATCAAAATACAGGTAGCATCGGTGAGGTAGGAAAATGGAGATGAGCAAGTAGGCATTCTTGGTGTCAACAAAAGGCCAGAAGATCCCTTTGTTGAAGGTAGGCAATGGTTGACTTGCCTAATTCCATGCAGCACTATGGAATTCAGATGACCCTGTTGAGGATCTTCAGAACCAGAATAGGACGAATGCCTCCATTTGCCTTGGGAACAGTGAACAGAACTCCTGAAACTTGTCTTCAACCAGAATGGGGCAAGGACCCACTGAGAAAGGAGTTGCTTGAGTGCAGAGTAGAGAGCCCTTTTTTGTGGGGAAGGTGGCAGATGTGAAAGGTCACCAAGAAGTTTGACAGATGTCCATCCCACTACAAGAAACTGGGGCAACCAATGATTGCATGGAAGGCTTGACTCCAGATCTAGGGGGCTTGGAAGTCCAAGATTTACAGTGAAAGGTAGCAAGGCAGCCACAAGGGGAAAGTCAGCAACTGATGCTGGTGGGGAGGGTTGGGGCCTGCTTTTGGCACCTACAGGCAGAATTCTGAGAGCTTGGAGTGGCTGAAAATTCCTCCCTGGACAAACATGAGGAAGGGGGTTGTGCCAAAGGGAACCTACAAAGGCTCCGGAGGAGGGCAGAGACTGGGGGAAGTGATCAGGGCTAGCTAAGTACATGCCCCCTAAAAACTGTTAGCTGAATGTAAGCTGGAAAGGTCGGAATCCATGATCTGCCATGCTCGAGAGGAAAAGTCCCCAAAGGGGTTCTCGCAATACTCACAACCAAGACTGCAGAGCAGGAGGGAGAGAAGCTGTGTTGGGCTGGAAGTGGGAGGGGGTTACATGAGGGTTTCAGTTTATCCATTTTTGAAGCAAAAAATAAACTTTTGGAATACCAGTACTTTGCAGTCCAAGGAAAGACAGTTTACTTGCAAAGGCAACTGTAATGACAAAAATGTAATTAAAGTATACCTAAAGCGAAAACTAAGTTTTCTCCATTTTGGACAGAGTAGGGGAGAGTTAAAACTGCTTTCATATTTTTTTGCCCTCTGTGTCTATTTGTGAGGATTTCATGTCTGGTAGATGCAACAGGAAGGGAGAGAATATATTGTCAATATGAGGGATTTCCCCTGTTAGTGGTCACACACATATCTCTATGAAACAAGTCCCTGCTATTTTGTTCAGGAGGAAACTCAAAATTTTAATTTACCCTCACTTTCAAAGCAAGTGCCATTGACAATCAAGACAATTAGAGAGTGTAATTCTCATAAACCGGGACACCGACGGCAATACAATTCCTAAGCATGGTTCTAACTCCTTACCACACTATCCAAATGTTTAAAAAAAAAAAAAAAGCCTTGCCTTTAGATATACTATTACTTTTTTTAAATCAATTAATAATTTCAAATATGGTAGAGAGTAGGGATGTTCAGATACCAGTATCTGTATACATGAAGATACTTGGCATTTTCAGGAGAAGTACCAGGGTTGCAGCTGCGACTGGGCCCTGAAGCTCCACCACTGTCCTGAAATTATTAGTCTGTATTGTTTAAGAAAATAAGAAAAACTGTCACATGACACGAAAGAAAAGGGTATCAGTAATTGGTATCTGTGAGTACTTGGACATGTAGACAATGCTTCTTAAAAATGACAGCTGCCTCCTAACTCTTCAGTTTTTCTCTAGTCTAGCCTTGGAGCTGGAAAAGTATCAGTACTTGTACCAAGAAGGATACTCCATATCTGTGCATCCCTAGTAGAAAGTTTATTATTAGGACCATTGAGAAATGATGGATGAAAATGAGACTTTGCAGACATATGTTAATAATAAATTATCAGTCATTCCAAATAATAATACCTATCTGCCACAATAGTTACCGTATTTTTCGCTCCATAAGACGCAAAAGGAGGGGAAAATGTGCCTGCGTCTTATGGAGCACATACCTATCCCCGACACCCAGGGCATGCAGTTTCGGGCGCCGGGCGAGTAGTTTTTTTGTGCATTCAGCCCTGCTCCTGATGAGCAGAGCTGAATGTACAGTGGGAGCCGCTGCTCATTTAATACAAGTGATCTAATTAGATCACTTGTATTAAATCGAGCGGCGGCGGCGACGATCGTGTCCGCCCCCGCCGTGGTTTTCAGGGACACCCGCTCCTCTGGGGGACCGTGACCCCGGTGCCCCATAGGAGCTCACCATAGAGCCCCTTGAGCAGACGAAGAACGCCGTTCTTCGTCTGCGTCTGCTCTGTGTGATTACTGAGACAGCGCCACATGTCTCAGCGGTCACTAACTGCAGCTACTGTGACAATTTCTGTCACAGAAGCCCTGCGTCCTATTGTCCGGAGCACCTTATAGAGCGCAAAATACGGTATGTCTTATCTATATTTTAAATCTATTTATTGGTACAACTGTAGATTTGAGGAAAGAGAAACATATGGATTAGAGTTAATCATTCCAAGAAACTCAAGTAACGTAAGGAATAGATAATACATGCACCTAATTGGTCTGCAAGAAGAAAGAAAAACCCAGGTTCTGCTTCCCAGCTTGTAACACAGCACTCTCCAGACAGGTCTGCTCCAGATAGGCCCTCACAAAACTATCAACAAATAGCTTAGCAAAGACTAGAATACAATAAACTAATGAAAGTTAGATATTAGAGATACATTTGAATCCCATTACTACTGAAAAGGTCCTCACTCATAAAAAGTAGATGTGTGTTGACTACATCAGTGCAAAGGAAGCATCAAATTATCTGCTCTGTTAGACTGCAAGCTCTCCATACTAATGAAACAAGAACAATCCAAAATCCGATGCACCCAAGCTCAGCAAGGTGTAATCAAATAGATACAAATTCACCTGCAATACTAACAATTCTGCAAACAGAAGATTATTACAGTCCACACTGGAGACAGTTATGCAGACCATATTAGTTAAATTAGATCAACTCTGACAGACAGTAAATGAGAAGAGATGCATGAGCAATAAAAAAAAAAAAAAAATTCTACAGTAATATAAAACACTAGGGATGTACAGATACTGGTATTTCGGTATCGAGTACCGATATTTTTTTCCCCCGGTACTCGCCAAAATGGAATATCGATACCAGAAGTTCCATTCAGGAAGCCAGGCAGTGTGTAAAGACTCCCCACCCGACTTCCCGATTAGCAGGGAAGCCATCTAGAGCTGCAGCTAACGATTATTTTCAAAATCGGTTAGCCGATTATCAAGTTCGATTAATCGGTTAATTGGAGAAAAATAAAATACATTTTAAAAAATGGCTCCAGTGATGGGACTACTAGCTTGTATTGAGATTGTAGTCCAGTGTGGTGTGCAATATAGTGAAATGAAAAGTGTAAAATTATACAGCAGTTAATGCAGAATGGTACCAGCTATAGAGGACTACAAAACCCAGCAATAGTACATTATAGCTGTCGGTATTCTGCATTGCACTGTATAATGTACTATTGCTGGGTTTTGTAGTCCTCTATAGCTGGTGGTATTCTGCATTCATTGCTGTATAGTGTACTATTGCTGGGTTTTGTAGTACTCTATAGCTGGTGGTATTCCACATTGCGCTGTATAATGTATTATTTCTTGATTTGTAGTCCTCTATACAGCGCAATGCAGAATACCACCAGCTATATAGAAGTACAACAAATCCCAGCAATACATTACACATACAGTGTGTAATGTATTGCTGAGATTTGTATTCCTCTATAGCTGATGGTATAATATACAGCACAATGTACCATCAGCTATAGAGGAATACAAATCCCAGCAATACATTATAGAGCACCATGTGTGGGAAAGGTCAGGTTTACCTGAGCAGTCTTCCAGCAACTTGTTTCTGAGATCGGGCCTGTCTGTCGGTGGCTGTCATCCGCCCACACCTGCTCCTCCTTACTTCTTCTCCCCGTGTCCCTGTGCCGATCGTGGATTCGGGCGGGTGGTGAGCGTGAGGTGGGGAGGAGGTGCGGCATGCGGAGCGTGGTTGCGGGCGGGTCTGGCAGCGGCGAGCGTGAGGTGAGGAGGAGGTGTGGCGCGCAGCGTGTGTGGAGCCGTGAACAGGGCCAACCAATCGGAAGCCGATTAAATCGATGATTGAAAAAGTTGACAACTTTTTCAATCATCGATTATAATCGATTATGTCAATTAGTTGTTGCAGCCCTAAAGCCATCCCCATGCTTCGTCACTAGATGACGAGAAAGCATAGAGCCGGCTTTCTGGCCAATCAGGAAGCCAGGCGCCGTGTAATGACGCGGCACCCGGCTTCCTGATTGGCCGGGAAGCTGGTTCCATGCTCCCTCGTCAAGAGGTGACGAGGGAGCATGAAGCCGGCTTCTTGATTGGCCAGCTTCCCGACCAATCAGAAAGCCGGGCCGCGAGTCATTACACACTGTCCGGCTTCCTGATTGGTCGGGAAGCTGGCCAATCAAGAAGCTGGGCAGCGAGTCATTACACATTGCCCAGCTTCCTGAAAGGCCGGGAAGCCAGCTCCATGCTCCCTCGTCACAAGTGGGAGGGAGCATGGAGCCGGCTTCCCGGCCAATCAGGAAGACGAGCAGCGTGTAATGACTCGCTGCCCAGCTTCCTGATACTGGAAGTATCGGGCTAGGCATCGGAGCATTTGGGCGAGTATTGGCCCAAATACTTGGCATTGGCACTGATACTAGTTTCGGTACATCCCCACAGAACACTAAGAGCAAATATGTAAATTAGGAAAGTTTATGACCTATTTTAGCCAGTTAATACAAGAAACATATTTTTTCTTGTTATTCCTGTCTTTGTCTTCCAATTGTGATAACAGAAGCCCCACCCTCATCTTTTGTCCTGGCCACACTGAAGAATGTAAAGGAATTACAGAGAGTAATAAGAAACCAAAGGGTCTAATCCTCCATACTTTCTAAAACAAAAAAATTGACCTGAGCTTAACTTTAGGTTTTAAAAACATGATGATTCACACAACTTTCAACCAGGATTCATATTTTTTTTTCCTTAAATTAATCAAATTAGAAAATGTGTGAATCTTGGGTGAAGGTTGTGTAAATCTAGGGGGATACCATTTATAAGTAGACCCCTAAGTGTTTGTAAGTCCATACACAACCATGTTTTATCATGGGAGACATGTAATAAAAAGGAATTTAACAAATATAGCAACAAATACTTTTTCTAGAAATAATTAGGTGTTAAAAAATATACATACCTTATTGCATCAGCCATTTTAGTGCTCTCTCTTTTCCGATCATCTGTCAAGCGTCTAATAAAATAAATAAAATCAATACCACAACAAAACACACTTCCAACTGCACTGAAAAGAACTAGCTTGCTGTCATCTGCAGCTGCTGTTGCTAGGGCACCCTGGACTTCCTTCATTACCTAAAGAAAACAAATGTAATGTTAGGTATAAACAAAAAGATGCATTCTCAAATTATCGACAGACTTATATACAACAACCACATATGGTCATGTGAAAAAATAAGTAAACTCCATGGAATCTGTCACCTTCTCCCCCATATATGAACAGGCAAACATCAGATCTTCATTCCAACCATGCCAACAGTTAAAATAGGATTTTGAACTTACCAGTAAATTCCGTTTCTTGGAGCACAGTACAGGACACAGGCAATTCAGAGACAACTGGGTAATATGCAGGTATTACCAGTTTGTTAGACACTGGCCAGAGCTGTGAGGACCATCTTAGGTCCTCACAGAACCCCACCCCTTCTAGGAAAGCCCCAGTTTTTTTTAGAAAGCAACAGAGGATATAGAGGGGCAAGTTCTGTGTCCTGTACTGTACTCGAAGAAACGGATTTCACTGGTAAGTAAAACACACAATTCAGGGATGACTGGAATGTCCAAAGCAAATCCCTGAGGGGAGGGCAAGAGCAAAACAACTGCTTAACAGGCCAAACAACAAATGAAAGGGAAGCCAAGTCAAACAGCAGCCTGTAGCCCCTTACGGACAAAACTCCCATCAGCCCAAACATTCACCTTGTAAAACGCACCAGTGAACCGAAGACCAGGTAGCAGCCTTACAAATCTGCAACATAGATGCCAGATGCTGAGAAGCCCAAGAGGCACAGACAGATCTAGTGGAGAGAGCCTTCACAGGGAAAGGCGGAGACCTACCCTAGAGAAAGTATGTATACCCACACAACTCTAACCAGAGCTAGAGGCGGGAGTAGGGGATACTCCGAAGGATTCACCACCCATAAACGAACACGGTCTCCAGGCGGAACCACAAGGATGCACCCTGACCGACCTCCCCTTTGCTCACTTCCATTGAGCATACTCACTCCTCCAGGAGAGGGTCTTCAGGGACTGGGTCACAACCTGTGCAGATCTGCCACTGCCCTAGACCTGTATAGCACGCTGCAGCTAACTCATCGCATTGCACCACGTGCCAAGGTGAGCCCTAAATGCAGGATTCAGTGCCCAAAGCAAAATTATAGGCTGGCCCCGCGTTTTTTGATCTGGAAACTACAAGGTAGCCCTTGTGGCTGATTGCAGTTAGGAATAGAAATCATCATAAAAAAGGTGACTAAACTACCACGTCTCCCCCAATACAGAGGAGACATTTATCACCTAAGTGTATTCCAGAATCCTGCTGCACTCCTTACCGGGTATCCCTGTCAGCGTGAGTGCTCGAAGTGACTGCGGATGGCACCACCAATACCGAAACTTGTTAAAGATCTCACCAGCACATGTCTGTTTATTGACGCTGCATGTCAAAACATATAGCGTTTCGAGGCCACAGAGGGTCCCCTTCATCAGGTTTGAAATGTGTGGCCTCAAAACATTATGTTTTGACAATTAGCATCACTCAACAGATGTGTTCTTAACTTCAATATGGTGTGCTGGTGAGATCTTTAACAAATGTATCGCCTAAGGACACTAGCTGAAAACAAAAAAAAATCAGAGGACTTCCTGGAAGGGGTGGGGTTATATGAGGCTCCTAAAAGCTCTGACCAGTGCCCAATAACCTGGTGATACCTACATATTACCCAGTTGTCTGACTGAATTGCCTGTGTCCTGTACTGTGTCATAATAAAAATTTATATATGTGCATGTATATATGTGTATATATCGGCCTTGCAATTTATGTTAACATTTTTTTGAGGACAGATAGAGCTTTCTTTTGGAGCTTTCTTTTGGAGGTATATAATCACCTTGGGGGTTATTTTTTTTACTATATAATGAAAAAAGTATCGTAAATGTAAAAGAAAAAAAAAAAGTTTCCCTACACTATGTTATAAAACATTTAAACCCATATTTTTGGTAAAACATAAAAGTCGGGGTCACGTCGGGTAAATAGACACCAAACATGTCAAGCCTTAAAATTGCGTGCGCCTGCAAAATCGCAAAAAACGCCCATAGGCAACACTTAAAACGCTTTTACTGCTCATCAGTTTAGTGTCATCAGTGATTGACGGCCCTAAAATTATCGCTCTCACTCCGACGTTTGCGGCGATATGTAACATGTGCGGCACAATAGGCGTTTTCGCATGTAGGCGCGCCCGACGCACATCTGAGTGTGTATGTGGGGGGCGGGGACTTAAAAAAAATGTTTTCTTTTTAAAAAATGTTTATGCTTTATTTTTTTTGATTCTTTAATTTTTGTATTACTTTTTTTTGACACACAACTTTATTGCTATTACATCAGGGGCTAAGACGCCCCCTATATAATAGCCAAATTTACATGACAGGTCCTCTTTATGGAGACATCAGGGGTCTCCAAGACCCCTGTCACCTAGGGACCCCAGGAGAAGCTGATGAAGCAGAGATCTGCTTCATCAGCTTCTGTAGCTGGGAGAGCGACACTGAATGCAGGAAGTGATGTAATATACATCACTTCCTGCATTCGGGGACTGAGAGGAGATCAAAGGGAGGTCGTATACTGAACTCCCTTTGATCTCCTGTCACAGAGTCGTGTCGGCCCCATCGGGCACAGCGGATATAGGGACCGGCAGTGACAGCTGCTAATACAAGCGATGGAGCGTCTCCCGGACGGCCGTGTAATTACAACGGCCGGCGAGCTGCTCGTCGGGCTCCACCGTCCTCTCGTCACAGACAAGTGGATTTTTTAAGGTGTGTGTGTGTGTGTGTGTGTGTGTGTGTGTGTGTGTGTGTGTGAGAACATTAGAGCAAGACTACAGTTTGCTAATAAACATATAGGAAAAGACCAGGCCTTCTGGAACAATAAATAAACAATAAAAAAATATAACATATAGGTTTTAGGCTAAAATAACACAATGTTTGGTGTAAACTAAAGATAGATGGTGTGTGAAGCATGGTGGTGGAAATGCTAGGGTTAATTTGCTGCTTCAGGGCCTAAGCAGCTTGCAGTCTGAGTCAACCATGAATCCAAATCTGCCAAATGAACGGCTTAAGGTAAAAACAAAAATAAAGGGGGTTATAGTTTGGCGCTGCCAAAACCCTTCAATGCTATTGGACTGTTGTGGGAGAATTTGAAACAGGCAGTTTATACTTGCAACCCACAAACATCTTGCAACTGTAGGAATTTTGCACTGATGAGTGGTAAAAAATGTAATGGATGTCAGTTATGCAAAACACCCACACAAAGTAAATTCCGCTAAAGGGGGCAATAGCAGCTTCTGAGGCCCAGGATGTACTTCCTTTTACAGCACACCATTACATTGATGATATTTATGTTGAAAAAAATGATTGAAAAGGCAAAATATTTTGAAAGTACAACACTTTTATCTGTAATGTTTGAATGAAGATCTAACGTTTGCATATTCAAATCTTTTGAAATCAAATGATAACCATGTGGGGTTAATATTTTTTCACATAACTGTATACTTTAAAGGTCCACTGCCACAGTTGCAATCTGAAATAAGAGTTTTGCTATTGCTTGCATGCAATTTACTGTATGCAGGGCCATTAAAAACGAGCTGGGCCATTGAAAACGAGGTGGAGAGAGGCTCTGGGATCGGTCTAAGAAACAGTCAGCTTGGATGATTTGGTGAGTAATTTTTTTTTTATCACCTAGACAAAAACGAGCACTTAACCCTTGCAGTGCGGGGGTAGCCCCACTGCAAGGGTTAATATAATTTTTCCACATAGCTCTTTTTAAAATTTGACAAAAACAAAATATTGATTGTGAATATGTTTAATTTACTACAAAAAACCAGCAGGTAGAACTGTGAAAATGTAAGATGATATTCTAAAAAGCTGAGGAGGGACAGATCCCCCATTCTGTTAGCAAAGACAGGAATGCCTTTATTAATGAATTGTTACAGTCTCTTAGAAAGCAGAAGACCTTGTTGGCACTGCATGCATTTTATACATGGTCATGCAATAAAACATTTGTAAAATTAAGATTTGACACCCATAATTAAGACACATTTGCAGTATATAGAAACATACAATTTGTAGAAACGTTTAATGGATAGCATGCAGTTTTCCCTTCTTGTCTATTAGATCCCTTATATTTCCCATTACTAGTACAAGTAGATCGAGGGCAGAGAGTCAGGCTGGGTTCACACCTAGGCGTATTGAATATGCGCGTTTGTCGCGCGTTTCGACCGCGATTCAAACGCCCGAGGGCTACTTGGCTGTATCCCAATGGAAACGAGAGACCAAAACGCCCCAAAGAAGTACATGTACTTCTTTGGGCGTAGGCCGTTTTGTATCGCGTTTGGACGGGCGGAAATACGGCAAGGTGTGAACCAGACCCATTGAATACAATGGGATTTAGATCTTTGAGCGTTTTGTAGAGCGTTCGTCGAGCATTGAACGCGCTACAAAACGTTCAGGTGTGAACCAGGCCTCAGAGCTGAGCACTGGTTTATTCTCAGCAGCATGACCAAGGGGGGGAACAGAGGTTTCCAATCTCCACCGACCTTGGCCATCTTAAATGCCTCTACAATGTTCACAGGCACACAGAGGAAGACAGTGAGCCCAGAGAGTGGGAGGGGAGAAGCCCACAAAGCCACCTGCTTGAACACCATCTTGTTAAAGTTATTAGGCAGCTGTATAGTCATCTGGATCACTTATACACTTGTAGAGACCATGGGCAGGATTACAAATAAACACACCCATGGCCACAGTGGCAGCTGCAGGTTTATTCTTTATACTTTCACTGCACCACTGTAACACTGCTATTGCTGTGAAGTGGAAGCGTTCATGCCAATGATTTAAAGGGTGATCACACAAATTTGTTACTAATCAAATCCTCTAGACTGCCCACTGCAGTCTGACTCTCCCCAAAAGAGATCAGAGCGATCTCTAGGGGTGCTGCAGCTGTACACATTAAACATCTATAAACATTCTCCCTGCACTGTGCACTTGCAGGATGAATGTTTATATACAGATAGTGGACAAGGAGGGGTTAACATAAAAGCCAATTCACAATGTCTCTTATTACATTATAGAAATGATCAAATTTTAGCGCTCATTTTCATGAAATAAGTGAACATTTTAAGTTTTAATGCTGAACTCGGATTTTGTTTTTTTTAATAGGGCCTCAATGCACAGAAAAAAAAAAACTTATTGTCGGCACAGGACAGATGATACAATATGGTACAGTTGCCCTATGGTCATTTTCCTACCTTTTTCTTCAAAATAAAAAGGTCATACTTTCATTTGTAAACTTTCCTCACAAAAAAAACCTGGGCTCCGGGCAGATGTAATAAACCCCAATATAGCTGTAGCTGTAGAACGGCCTGCGACCTGACCTGACTGTACTATTAGGAAGGCATGCCTGGGTTACAAATTTGGCATAACAGTATTACAAATCATTTGGCAAGTTAAATAATTAATGTACTTTAGATGTTTTTATACTGTGTGTATTTAGATATTTGCCTCTAAGGAATTTCCATTAGGCCTTACAAATTAATTCTATGCTAGATCATGTAAGTTGTTTACTTATACTGGCTCTGCTTAGGGGTCACAGAAGCTTATAATGAGGGAAATCCATGATTGCATAGGGACATGCAAAATAGTTTATTTTTCTGTATTTTTATTGAGTTGAAATCCTAAATCTATCGCGTATGAGGACAGATAATGATGGTGTCCCCCTCATATGCCATTTTGGCATGCTAAAAACAATAACAAATATGTTGAGAAGTGCATTTATCTTTACCTATTCCAAGGTATTAGCCACCTCAGCTGATCAGAAGCCCAGAGTAAACCAAAATTAATACTGCATACTTTGTATTGCATACATACTACACATATATGGTAATCTGATAACTGTATGCACTTAAAAATATGCATTAATATACTCAGTACTATCATTACTGGTATGGTGAGTAGTTCTCTCCACATTTACATGTAATCTAGCAAAGTGACAGCGAAGGGGTTGGGACAAACCATAACACCGGCAGACGAGAATGCAAACATCTTTAGAAAAAGGTATTTAGTCATCAGTCAATACATATTACTGAGGGAAACAAGCAACATACACAAGTCAAGACACTACAGTTGATCCCAAACTGATGTTAAGGTAGCAAAAATACCCATGCTATCACATAGCAAACAACTCCTAGTTCCTGTGCATCTGTCTACCTTGCATATTTAGCACCTGCGGTCCCCTCAAGCTCCAGTGCGCTCTGGAATGTAAATACTGACCTGTGAGGCCACCCACTCTAGTAAAAAGCCAATAGTGTGGTGCAGGAGCTGGGATAGTAGAGACCATATTCACACCAGGGAGACCTGGTTAGTGCATGCAGTACAGCATGCCCTGCAGGTCAAGGTACTCTGTGTACTGGATAACAAAGGTGAGGGTTAAGTGCTTGTTTTTGTCTAGATTTAAAAATAAAGTTATACTTACCCGAAGCTCCAAACCAGCTAGTTGTCACAGCGCTCCCTCCTCCTCCGCTGCAGCATTAGAATGTTATTTAGTGTCCTCACACATTTACACAGTGTATAGACGTGGTGATTTGCGGGACCTTAGACTGTCGCAGAGGAGGAGGAGAGATGCTAGAAGGACTGGTCTAAGAACAAGCCGGCTCAGGCAAGTATACTTAAAAAGGGACCCTTTTTTGTAACAGAGTAGGGGGTTCATACTGAAGGGTCAAAACTAGAAAAAAATGGTACATGCATGAATCTATAACCGGCCTTTATAGCAGGGCGCACATTGGGAAGGCTTACAACAATACAAAAATTCCCCAGCCTCAACCTGCCAGCCAGCCTGCAACCAAACAAGTAGCCCTGTCAACAGTATGCGTTAAAATCAGAGGTTTAGTTGCACAAACTTTTGGCCAAAAATATGTAGAAGCCACACTGCCGCGCCAAGGCACCTCTGCAAAGTGTGGTCCTAACTCTATGTATCCGAGTCTCCAAGTGTGAGCATATTAATGAGGTTGATAAATTACATGCAGGTGTACCTGGAGGTAGCCAACTCCTCCTAATAAGGTGCTGGAGTCCCTGTGTGCATTTTTGGTTGCTGGGCCTCCAGTGCGTCCCTGCACCTTATTAGGAGGAGTTGGCTACCTCCAGGTACACCTGCATGTAATTTATCAACTTCATTAATATGCTCACACTTGGAGACTCGGATACATAGAGTTAGGACCACACTTTGCAGAGGTGCCTTGGCGCGGCAGTGTGGCTTCTACATATTTTTGGCCAAAAGTTTGTGCAACTAAACCTCTGATTTTAACGCATACTGTTGACAGGGCTACTTGTTTGGTTGCAGGCTGGCTGGCAGGTTGAGGCTGGGGAATTTTTGTGTTTTGTGTCATACTGAAGGGTGCCGCTTTCCTGCATTTGGAACGCACCTCAAACACAGGTAAGTGAAATTCCATTGACTTTACTCGAGCAGCAAACAGTGTGGTTTAGAGGTTTAAACATGGCAGTGTTTGAACCTGTGTTTCTTTGAATGCAGCATCTTAAAAGGAGAATTATGGGGTTAGGGCTTTTCCCCATAGTTCTCCGAAGGGTAACGGGAGGACACAAACTAGCGTCCTCCCGTTACCCAAAGCTCAGTATACCGCGAGCTACAGCTCGCGGTATACTGAGACGCCGAAGCTGAAAGGATTCTGACAATTATGTCTGGATCCGCCCAGCTGCTTGAGTGACAGCTGGCTATGCCTATCTAGAGGCAGAGCCAGCTGTACCCGCCCCCTCCCCAGTCTGTTCCGCCAGTCAGCGCTGGAGGATCGGACAGGGGAGGGGGGAATCCAGTCACTCCCCTGTCACGGCTCACCTGTGGGGATAGATCGAGAAGTGATCGAGCGCCGTTATGTGTTCGCTCACTTCCCGATCTACTGAGTCGACCTTTGACAGTTTCATTGTCACAGGTCGGCTCAGATTATGAGGCTGAATGAAAAGCACTCACCTCATAATTCTCCTTTAGCTTGCATGTGAACTGTATGCAAAGAAGGTGAAATGCAGCCTTTACTTGTAAAACACTGTTTTCCATTCCAATACAGCTGCATCAGGGTTTGACTAGAACGCCCATCGCCGTGAACCATAATTTTACTTGTCCCCTACACACCTTCACTTTGTTTCCTCACTGTCCAGGGAAAGTGAGGAAAGAAAGCCCTGTGGAAGTGCCAAACTGACTTATCAGAGATTATACGGAGCTGAAAACTCTATCCCTACATTCAAGTGACAGCCTGGCCAATCAACAGGCATCAATGCAGTCACGTGGGAGACGAGAAGTCCCATGCATATCCATACCATAGTGTTGGGTATTTCACTTCACTCCCAGTGGCTGAATGGGAGAGTGAAGGAAAGTAAAGTATATAGTTCTGGTGATGGAGGAAGAAAGTTAAGTGATCCTATTACTTTAACATTCATTGGCAAACTAAAAGGGTCACATTGTAACATCACCACATCATTAATACAAAATACATGCATGCGTACATAAAGTTCAGCTATTCCGCAATATTTTATGCTGTGAAAACTAACCTCTGGATTCAGGGAATTATTCTCAGATGACTTTGTAGAAAGTAATATATGTGTGAATCCATCCTGTTTACGCACAACAATGTCTCTGTATCGATAAGCACTCTCAGTTTGTCTTACACTGAAACGTAGTCTTTTATCAAAGGACTGTTCTCTTCGTTCATCAATAAACTTCCTCTTTCCTGTTACTCCTGCCACCGATGTCTGTATATTGCTGGTACCATTTGCAGTCAATGCCTGCATGAAGGTAGATGTGCCTGCAAACAATGTAAAAAAAAAAACATTAGTACCAACATATTGTGAACCAAAAACAATTGTGAAAGTAAAAAAACATTCATGCACTGCAAGAATTACCATGAAGAGAAGGTTTCTTGGACGTCAAATAACACAACTTTTAAAAATGCTAACCCAGTAAAGGTTAAAATGGTTCATTAAAAATAGATTTGGACTGAAAATTTTGAATAATTCTTTATATAAAAGGATTCATAGACATTTATTTTAATGTAAGCATTTAAGATAAGAAATCATTGGTCAATTATGTGTTTAAACATTCAAAGAAATCGGTATTCCAAAACAAAACAAAAAACGGTACAGCCTATTTAAAATGTACCCATATTACAAATTAAATAATGAAGTACATTGGAAGAAAAATAAAGTGTTTTTTTCTGCAGGTTTATGTGCAGATTGTGATACATTGAAGTCAAATGACAAAACGCATGCATATGCATGTAAAAATTTATTTTTATGCAAATTATACAAAATGGACAAAATCTGTAAAGACAATCTGAAAGCATTAGGATAAAAACATATGTGGTTTACCAGCAGACAATCCATGAAACAGTCAGGTCCCTTCTATTCCTTTACAACAAAAATGTTAAACTCTTCCAAGGGAATGGCACATTTTCACAAAACTCCTATTTGATTCTCCTGGAATTTAAAATAAACCTACACTTGCAATCTAACCTTTTGTATGAGATTGAGATGCTGAAAACACATACTGTACCTTATGCTGCATATGATTTGCAGTATACTCCGCACCAACTACTGGCTGTTTACTTCTTCTATGTAAAGAGCAGAAACTACATACCGTATTAAAAAAAGGTACATATTTCGCTCTGAATACTCATGGGATTCCTTGATTTCTGGAAAATGTATGATTTGATCAGACTTATAATTAAAGTGTATCTAAACCAAGAGTGATGAAAGTTTACAACCCGTCAGGTTGTTTTATTGTCATCTTATATTCACTCCCTGTATTTGTCCCTGACCTGTCAATCATGCTGTTGTCATGGTGGGTAGGACAGACCAGGAGTCTGACCTGTCAATCAAAATTGTCCATGTTAGCATGTGGAACCAGACCAGGATTCTGAGACTTCTATGTCTTCTACTCCAGAACTACGCTGTCACTGGGACTGAAAGAGAGATAAAATCTAAAAATATTAGTCGTCACCAGAAAATAATATAGGGGAAATCTGTAATGGCATCCACAGTCATTTTCTTTCTGGTTTGCGGTTTCCATGGGCTATGTGTGAGGGAACATAGCGGCACTGCATGTCTTATCCACCCCATTTGCAGCTACAAACCTCTGTACTGCCCAATAATCTGAAAACACGCTACCCCTCGCACAAACACACTTGGAAGTGTGTTACAAAATAAACATTTACAGCAAGTGGGTGCTACTCAAATCCACAAGGATTATATATATATATATATATATACACATACATACATACACTCTTCTACTTCTTCCTACTGTTATTCTTTTCTATCCAATAGAATAAAACTGCTAAATGACCATACACTGATTAGTCCGGACAGTCCCCCATCCTTGCGCTACTGATGTGCCATGTGCCACTGGGGTACTCACAGACCAGTTCTTCTGGAGCAGGAAGGGTTAATTGTCAAGAAGTGATTGACCACTGCTTACCAGTCCTTAGATGTACTGCCTGCATTGGTTTTCTTTTTTTCACCCCAAGAACAATTCTCAGTTAGTACAGAAAATAAATGTTGATCTTGCCCAAAATTTTGTGTTCTTGGCATAACACAACTTTTGTTGGACACTGTTGCAAGTATACACCTGTGTCAAATAATTGAGCGCCATGAATGCAATGCTGCAGCCAGTGCAAAACAAACTCCTTGTATCTTGCATAAAAAGGGCATTGTGTCCCTTATTTCCTGTTTGTACAATCTGCGGCCGCTGTGCCTGCTTCTTCTCTGGGCCACCAGTCATCTAACATCCCCCCTGTAGTTCTACAGTGGAAGACATGGGAGTCTCAGAATCCTGGTCTTGTCCCACACGCTAACATAGCCAATTTTTATTGACAGGCCAGGAGACTCCTGGTCTGTCCTACCCACCATGACAACAGCATGACTGACAGGCCAGAAGACCCTTGGTCGGCCCTGCCCATTCCCCCTTGCCAGAACAGATAGATATAAAAGAGGACAGTCTCCCTGAAAGTGCACCTCCTCACAACCACATGCAGTATTGGACTGAGGAACAGTATACTTGTATGCCCTATACCTGATATGCTTGTAAATTTAGTATTCCTCTTTATTCAATAAAAAGCTATTTGAAACGAAAATTTGTCTTGTACATATTCATTTAATGTTGATCATTCCTTAGTCTGCTCCAGTTTTTATCTCATAAAAATTGTAACAAATTGTTTGCCATACTTTCAAAATCAAGTAGGGACAGCAGAGCATTGTGCAGTGATGTGGGCGCAGTCAGAAGGCTCTGACTGGCACACTTGTGATCGGCCACAAACTCGTAGTTGTAGTTATATATAGAAGCATAGAACAGCAAAAAAAAACTGTGTAGGTGCTTCCTCAATTCTATCTCATGGTGCCCATGTATAGATGCTTTCACCTGGATTCAGTGATGAAACCAGACACTAAAAACTATATAATTGTGAATAAATAACATGCTGGTTTTTACTGTGGCAAAGGACATGAAAAAAAAGGTGAGCTTTTTAAACTATCTCGAAGTTCAGCTTTAAAATAAATGTGTCAGGCATGTAGTCCTGCCCTAGGTAAGACAAGATGTCCTCAGTCACCATTATTAGTCAGGAAACCACTGCATGTACCTTTGACAGGAAGACGATAAATGGTTGTATCCTGTTGCACTCCTTGCCAGATCCATGAATATCCTGTGCATACAGGTGGGTGCTCGTAGTGACCACAGATGGTCATTCTGAGCCTGATGAATGGGACCCTCTGAGGCCCAAAAGCGCTTGCAATTGAATGCCAATTTTTCATAAAAAATGGACTTCTGCTGATCACTCTAATTGGTGTGCTGGTGACACCTTTGATATTTGACAGGAACAGGGCATAGCCTAGCCCAGCCCTTGCCCTAGTAACAGTCTTAAAATAAATCAGAGCAGCACAAAGAGGGATATTCTGCTAATAAAGGTCACAGAAGGCACCATCATGTACAGGTTATTCAGCAAGGCTTTACATTTTTAAAAGTTTATGGCACATTGACACCCGTGTGTTGGAGCAATTCACATGTTAAAGTGAATTGCCACGATGCAGGACAACAAACCTGGTCTATGTTCAGTTAAATGCCATTTAATGGGAAAGGCACCCCACTGCACTGTATATTAGAGTGCAATGTGCTGTGTTAAGTTGTGCGTTTTCACACCCATTGTGGTAATAATGAATGTGCCTTAACATAAATGTCCCACACCGGATTGCTTAAGTGTGAAAAAGACCTCAATGTGGTTGATGGATATCATATTTTGTAAAGCATTAGATTTACATATCTATTACCTGTCCATTACCCAAATAAACTAACTAAAATACCAAGCCAGTTTTCAAAGAAATTATTATGCACACCTAACCTGTCGTTATAAAATTCTCTCGTTCAGACATCAGACAATAACAAACACAATGAGGTCCAATTATCAATACAACAAACCAAAGAATGAAATCACCCAGTGGTATATACCCTGTTTATAAAATGTGGTATTTGTCTGCAATCCACAAAATGCATTTATTACAACTTTGGATATATTTTATTTATATTTATGGACCTAAAAATACTTTACCTTTCATATGCTTACTAGGCTAATCTTAAGCACTTTGATGAAGAAAAAAAAAAAAAAGCCTGTTTACAGAGTTTAACAGCGCTTAATCTCAGTTTAAACACACAGTTAAATGAATCACTCATCCTCCCCTCTCTACGCACAGGCTCTGGAAGTCCCTGCACAGTTAGACTGTCGCTAATTAAAACCACTACTGCAGTGCACTCTATTGCTAAGGACACCCAGTAACAGAAGTTTTGGAAAAATAAATAGAAATAAGAATAAAATGACATAAAACATCAGTTTAAAAACGAAATAAAAACATTAAAAAGGTCAAAGAACACGAGCAAAAAAAAAAAACACCAACAAATGTAACTTTGGAACTCCAAAATCGTAAAATACATTTCTTGAAGTTCATTAGGGGCCACAGGATTCATGCAATTAAGTTAACCAGTTGCCGTCCGCCCGTTGTAAAAAAACAGACGGCACTGCTGCATTGGCGGTTTGCCGTCCCCAGACGGCATTTTTTTTTCTGGGCGCGCACGGGCAGAAAAGTCCCGTGCAATGCAAACACCCGTTACCAGGCGTTTCACATATAGACGATCGGCGGCTCTATAGCCTGCCGATCGTCTATATGTGCTCGTGTTTTTTTTGCCCCCCGTCTGCTGCTGCCACTTTTTTGTCCGCAGTCTGCTGCCGCC